TAATGACTCGGCAAAATTACCAAACAACAGTCGGCAAAAGATCACTCACACCCCCCCCCCACTCGAAGAGGGTTAGCGCCGCCCCTGGATTTTAGAAACACAAATTCGTACATTCAGTGATACCTCGGACTATACGCGTATAGCTATGTAACAGTTCCGTACATATGTTCTTTTAATAAAATACTGGGAGCATTTCGCTGCGCATAGTTCTTCAACAATCACCCAGCCTAAAATTACCGTTATTATATTAATGGAAGTACAGTCGCAAATACAGTTTAGTCACAAATACAGCTGTATTATTCGCAAATACATTCCTCATCAATCAAAGGACTGCATGGTTAAATGACTGTACTCTACTGGATAAAGAGTAACGAAAATGAAAACAATAAGACATAAGTGCGTGTACTGTCGTGTTGGATACGGACGATCTTGATCCTGCATATATTTCCTTCCGTTCCAGAAACACAAATAACTTTTTAGTCAGAATGGCCTTCACCTCAAGTAGAACAACAAGAAAACAATCCTGTCGAATGCAGACATTGAAATAACTGACAGTTGACCATTCGTGAACAATACCATTGTTAATTTGTCTGTTGTTTCTCTTTCATCCTATTGCAGTATTAATTATAGTATTTGGAAAGCAATTCTTATTGGTAATTTAAACAGGATGCTATGATGTTTTTAAGGAACTTCTCAGATTCTTGAGGTTTTGATTAGAGGAATTGTTGGAAGTCCGCAAATGAACTGGGGCCGGTTGTATGAAAAGTGCATGCATGGATAATTTATCCAGTGGATAATTCCTACTGTACAGGGTGTATCAAAATAAACGCAATTCATCTTTTGTGCTTAATAACTTTCGAAATACTATTTCTAGTTAAACGCTTTTAGGCTTACTTCAAGGGCGAAGACTATCAGAGCCAAGATATTTCCAACGTCATTTTTACGTAAATGACATTATAATGGGCTATCGTCTGCATGAGCCTCGAAAGCAAACTTGTATCGATTCCTTTTTTATATGAATGTCACTACAGACTGTGAGAGACGTATACATTTTCTAATGAACTTTTATGCACAAAGAACTTTCATTTATGCTAATTATTTGCTAGATATTTTTTACTGTTTTGATACTCAAATTACACACCTAATTACACACCTTTGCCTCCTACTGTGTTTTTCTACATACCCCTTTTAAGCGGACACCCCTTTTAAGCGGACACCCCTTTTAAGCGGACACCCCTTTTAAGCGGACACTTAGGCGAGGTCCCGAAGGTGTCCGCTTAATAGGGGTTCGACTGTACGAAATAAATTAATTTGCATGTCCTACCTTATAAAACCCAGTACAGGGGAATCTTGCCCTCAGTCGTGAGAAAGCTGTTCCCTCCCTCCTCACCCTTGGAACACGATTCCCGTACCACGTGCTTGGGAATTTCTCACCCCGGGGGATCGGAGCCACCAGTCACAGCTCTCTCAATTGCAGTAGTTTGCATTCCCTGGGCTTGTCTGGGAACATTAGCCAGCCCCGCCCCCGTTCCTATTTTACTTATCGCCCCTCACGTTCGTCGTACGTCCCAGCATATTGCTCTGTAAACACGTCACTGCTATCGATTCAACCCATATATGTGTAGGGCTCGACCCACCCTACCGGTTCCAACCTATGACCTTGGCCTTTTCCGTCATGTTCACAGCATTCTTTAGCGAGGAGGCAACGGCGGTCTACAATGAAACAATTATTGACCGGTCAATAATCGAATGGGTACAGTGCGCATGCGCGTCAACCGTGAAGTTCCAAAGTTCATTTTATTAAACTCTTTTATTAAACATTTACGGCGTTCCATTTATCTAGTTTTTGTTTCAAAGTTCATTCCAATAACCGGTAAATTATTCATACTTTGACACTTATATACTATATAAGAAAACACTTATTTACTGAGACCTCGAGAAAGCCTTGGCTTCGCCTTGGGCAACAACGGCGGTCTCGACAAAACACACTGTTTCCCTCGGTCTCAGTAAATAAGTGATAATTATACTATGGATAAAGTATGGAAGTATAGAGAAGAAATATTATGGATTTAGTGATACAAGATGATTGTCGTACCAAATTTGGAAATGTTTTACCACTAGATAATTGATTAATTGTGGTTTTGTGTTGAATGTTCAATTATTTTCTGATGCTACTCCGATTATGTCCACACCGGGAAAGCTGAGAAATTGCTTGACCGAGGTGGGAATTGAACCCGCGACTTCGCCTTGCTATATATAGTCCAACGCAACAAGGGGGTATTTCGTTCTCGACCAATCAGCGCATTTGTTGACAATTTCGCTCTAAGCCAATCAGAATGTAATAGACCTTTCCCCTTTTGAGTGAAATTTTGATCTAGACAAGTCTGGACAAAAATTTCATCACAGCTTGAAAGAGCATCACAAAATTAGTAATATTCCGAAGTTTCAGATGAACTCGGCCCTTTTGATCATTAGCAAAAGGTTAACCTTGTTGAAAATGCTGCATCTGCCTGCTTTCTCATATCCTCTCACATTCTCGACATTAATTCCCTCTTATAAAAGTCAGCACAGGCAGGGGCGGTGGTAAAAGTGGGTTGTGGGTGTAGAATACCCCCAATCGTCAGGTCGGTAGTCGGCAAATTACTGTATCTAATACCAGTTGGATGAAAAGAAATACTAATTAACGTTTGAAATTAGTATGCAATATTTCACTTTCACCCACCCACCCCCCTATTCAAATATCGCTAGCGCTGCCCCAGAGCACAGAGTGATTTTTATGTACCCGTATAAACTGTGTTAGGCAAAAGACCCTCATTGAGACTAAGCCCCAGTAGTTGTAATTTCTTAAAAAATGCCTTGTACGAGCGCGAAAGGCTGCTGGGAATCGCTTTGAAAATTCATTAATTTGTTAGCGCTTCCCAGCAGCCTTTCGCGCTCGTATTCGACTTTTCCGCTTTGCTCGCGGACAACCTTATTGAAATAGCTGTATACATGCACATGCATGTACATGTGTAGATTTGGAAATGTTTTACCACAATACATTGATTGACTGGTGCATGTTGTGTGTTGAACTCAGGTGTTTAATTTTCTGCTGATGCTACCGCACATGCATGGGCAAGCTGAAAAATTGCTTGACAGCGATGGGAATCAACCCGCAACGTTTGCTTTGCTTGCTATAGAGTATAGCAACGCTCTACCAACTGAGCTACAGGTCAAGTCATTCGAGTAGATGATATTTCGAACTTAATCTTCGAGCTTAGACTAAGATCGTATAAAGGCAAACATTTCAAAAAGTTTTATCCGTTTTAGTGAATAAAATAGGAAACAATTGGCTAATGTTATATAATTTGATAACATGATCATTGGCTGCATCGCCGACGATAATATCCAATTATTTTTCTTTACTAAGCCGGCCTATACAGGGTGTATAGAAAACGGAATCCTGGATTAAAATTTCGAAGAGAATAATATGTTTCTGTTTATACACTCATTCTAACATTCATAATTCATTCACTCGTTCACATGCATCAGAAGAAGAAAATCGCACTAAAGCTTGGCCATTCAGCTTTCCAATGGCGGCTTACTTTTAAATTTGAATGATTGGTTCGCGAAAAATCTTATTTCATGACTGCATGCGATTGAAAATCCAAAACTTGAGATGCAACAACAAATCGATACTTCCTGAAATTAACTTATTTTATCAACAAAAATAAAAGATTTTAAAGCATTTTGGCAAAAACTCGTGAAACCTACATGTAAGCACTACTTTTAATTCGTTTAATAATTTACATCCGGTTTAAACTTGCGCCAACTTGATAAATTCTGTTGACATTATATACGACGCGATTCGATGACATTCGTGCCGACGTAAGGTAAGGTTGTTTTTATTTTTGAATGCAAAATAACCAAATTAAAATATCTTTTAAAAATGTTTTTTAAAACTTTCTTGCTATTTTTTGTCGCGTGGCAACAACAACAGTATGAAAGGTTAAACAAGAAAATTCTAGAATTAAAACGTGTGCTAAATTTTCTCTTGTGCCGTCATTACTTCATGGATTTAAGACTTCAATGAGCCGAAAGGTTGTTCGTAGGGGAATTAAAGAACAAGCTTAATTTATTGTTTTTGGCTACTGAATTTCATTTGTTGCAGTATGTTCCAAAAAAGGTGTATGCAAATAAAGTTTTCTCAGCCTATCAGAATAGTGATATAAAGTTATTAGGGCTATTTATACACGAGCGAAAATAAGCCGCAACTGGAAATGTCGCGAACGACTCATATAAACAGTCATGCATTTGCAATAAATTGACTGTTTCAATGCGAACAAATTGACTGCTTATACGAGCTAAGCTACGATTTTTAAGTCAATTCGAGTAGGTGATATTTCAGGACTTAATATCTAGTTTATTCGATATCTGTATTATGAATTAACGTTTGGAGACTACGCAATAATTTTAGTAACCGCTTTTCATCAAAATTGCAGGCAGATGTTCATGCATTATATGCAAATTAATAATTAAACGCGCTTAAATTAAGATCGTATAGAGGCAAACATATTTCATAAAGGTTTTACCGTTTTAGTGAATAAAATAAAGAAATATAATACGGCTAACATTTTGTAATTTGATAACATGATCATTGGCTGCAGATAATATCCAATTATTTTTCTTTTAACTAAGCCGGCCTATACATACAGGGTGTATAAAAAACCGGATCCTCGATTAAAATTTAACTTTGAAAGAGAATAATTTGTTTCTGTTCATACATTCATTCTAACATTCATAATTCATCTACTCGGTCACATGCATGAGAGGAAGAAAATCGCACTATAAGAAATCGCAGCAAAATTGCAAGTGTATATATATAAACGTGATTAAAGCTTAGCTTTCCATTTTAGTTATAAATTTGAATGATTGGTTCGCGAAAAATCTTATTTTAAGTGACTGCATGTGATTGGAAATCCAAAACTTGAGATGCAACAACAAATCGTTCTGATTGGTTGGAAAATTTTATTTGCATGCACCTGTTTTGGCTTCTTTTTTTCTTCCGAACAACAGGTCACTTAGGGGCGGACCATTTGACTTTTGAGGGGGTGTGTGGAAGATTTCGAAAAAAAATTTCTTGCAACCCAAAGAGAAAGAAAAAATCATGCAGCATACAATCGAGAAAAAAAAATATCATGCAAAAGAGAGCGCTCAAAAAAAAAATTTCTACATGTAACTATACTGATGCTCTTCACTTCAGTATTGTGTCCACAGGCTTGCAAGATTTTGCATTTTTGAGCAGGCACATTTGCTTAAAAGAACACGGGGTGAACAGTGGATAACATCACAGGGATTCTACCGCCTTTGGAGCCTCTGACATACGATAGCCAGTGGTGTTCCCTTGGCAAAATTGTTGCCCCACCCCCTGAGAAAATCTGGGCTTAAGATAATTATGTACAAGTTTATAAGTTATTTATACATATCTAATATGCATGGTAGAAAAAGTATTTTTGGATGATTGAGTCTGTGTGCGTTTTTTGATAACATAGCTCCAAACTATTAAAGCTTCAAAGGCCCATCTACAGGATGCAAGTTGAACGTACTGTATATACGATGATTTTAATGCGAAAATGCCAGTTTAGAGAGTCTAGATTTTAAAAAATTTCTGAAGAGGATGCAACCCGATCCCCAACAAGCTATCTGTATGAACGATTGAAAAGCTACAGAGCTATATTTGGTGGAACATTGTTGTTTCGGAGGGCAGTTAAAAATTGCATTATTGAAATCTTGTTTTATTACATATTAATCAAAGCTCATTTTGTGATTTTCCCTTGTTTAAAATAAAGGACAGTAAGTGTTCCTTAGGCTTAGTACAGCAAAGTTGTCGTGGACGAATCCATGGCTGAAAACGCAGGAAATAGCATTTCCGAGGTTCAAATTTTAAAATTTTCTCGGGGGAGCATGCCCCCGAACCCCCCAAGGTTACAGGTCATTCATATACTGTACCCTCCCCCCATTTTCGAGTACTCTACTCTATCCCTGCATGTTTTAGGTTTTGGTGCAGTTATACATTTTTTGTAAGTAAACCTGCACGCTTTAGTGTGGCGAACATTAAGACATAACCATATAAAATAAAGCACAGTGAAAATTCCTTGGCCCCTCTTGGGATTCAGTTCTCGGCCTCCTCTGACTGAAAACCCCTGCTACGTCTCTGATGATAGCTATATGAAAGCCTTAAGTTACTGTAAGCCGTTATTATGAGAGGCAAAAAGATATCCTGCCGCCAAATATATTGGGAAAAAAATATCTTGCGCTGCACTTTTACAGGAAAAAAATATCTGTCTTGTTCGCCTGGGCGGAAAAAAATTCTTGACGCAATTGTATATTATTAGTTGTTTTAATAAAGCGTTGTCATTGCCACCAGCTATTGAACTGAACACCCTGTCAAAGAGTAATTTGGCAATTGCTTTGGGCAAAACATGTCTCTATTCAAAACGATTACTAGCGTACGTTCAGTTTTTTGCTGCTCACAACGAAATATGCAGAAAGTGAATTAGAGTGTTCCATGCATTGTACAAGCATCGACGCGTGCTTGTCAGTGAATTACAAAGCAAGCGGAGTGGATCAAGGTTTATGTCAACTCAACAACAGTACAACGTCAGAAAATCTTGGACTGGTTTCCGATGATAAATTTGTGCATCTTTCTATTGTAAAGAGGGTAAGATATTTCTTTATGATATCACAAATGGGGCAGCATATAGCAAACATGCAGAAAAATTGTTTCCTAACCATGCTTCTCGATACGATTGCTTGTTTCTTCAAGGTTCGTAGTTTCAAAGACCAAAAAATTCAAAGACAAAAACTAGATTTTTTTGCCTAGTATTTTCAAAGACCTTTTCGTACCAATTCGGCGGAAGCTAATATTTGCACAACTAAACAATCAACAATGATGCACACTTTTTGTGGGAGAAGCCTGTTCTTTTCTCTTTCAAACAAACTATTATCCTTG